GAGAGAGAGAGAGAGAGAGAGAGAGAGAGAGAGAGAGAGAGAGAGAGAGAGAGAGAGGCAAAGGAGCGGAAGTGGCGGCTGGAGAGGAGCGGAGCGGCAGTGGCACCGGAGCAGGAGCAGCAGCGGAGCGCGGTTTACGAGGGCGGTGGATTCACAAGCGAGGCGTCGACGAACGCCATTGAATTTTTATTCAACGGCGTTCAACGCGGTTGAACGCATTTGTTCGGCGGTCGTTTCACGGTGTGCGGCAGTGTTGGGGCGGTTCTGTGAAGTGACGGAGGGGGGCTCTACAGACCGCGGGCGGCAGGTAACGGGGGTTGAGTCGTGAGGGGGGGTTGGGGGGGGGGGGGGCTGCGGTTGCAAGGCCTCGTCGCTTCGGAGTTGGGTAGAGGGTGGTCGCCATGAGGAGGACACAACGGCGCCAGCATGAGCTTGCTGCGGATGATGTGCAGGAGACATTCAGGGGCCGTTCCCCAATGTATCGGTACCTTGTCGTCGGCCAGAAGGTCGACAACAAGGGGGTGATGATGTTGCGTTGCACGTTTTGCACAAAGTATTCCCGGAGACTCGGTACCAGGCCACGAGGCACTTCGCCCAGATGAACTACTGCAAGGACGTCAGTGACGAGGCGTTGTACGAGATAGCACAGCGAACTTAACAGAAGTTCGAGTTTGATCAGATGAAGAGGGTTGGCAGGTACACAGCGGAGCGTGGACTCGATGTGCCCCGGGCCGGTGGTGCAAGAGGAGGAGAGGCAGGGCAGCGTCCGTTGGAAGGAGGGGGCAAGGGAGATGGTGGGCAGGGTGCGCCCGACCGCCCATTAGGGGGTGGAGGAGGTGACACAGAGGAGGACGTGATCCACATCAATCGCGAGGCACGTGGCCCGGGCGAGGAGGGATTCCCGGGACACGAGAACGTGCCTGAGTTCCATCCAGCGAATGGGGGACGATGGTGGACTGGGTGCAGCAAGCAGGCAAGGGATAGGTGCCTATAACAGAGCGTACAAGGGGGGAGGGTCCTTCAAAGAGGAAGGAAGGAGGAGCTGATCCAATTGCCATCAAAGTTGGAAAGAGGCTTCGCCAGCAGAAGGGCACTGAGGTCTACAATGGCTAGACGGTTGCTCGTCACAAGGAGACCTTCCTTCGCTGGCTTTATTCTTGCAGGGTCTCCTCCAATGCCTTATGCAACCGGGCATGGAAGGCATGTCAACAGGTTTTTCTTGAGAAGCCTGGCAGTTCGGCGCGCGTTGTGCTCCCCAGCCACAGCGAGATTGCGAGCACACGGGCAGTGGAGACCCACCGTGCGGGATTGGCGAAGGAATTGGAGGAGGTGAGGCAGTCATTCTGGGTGACTGGTGCCACCATCCTTTCGGACGGAAGGAAATCACGAGACGGGAGACCGATCGTGAATTTCCTTGCCGTAGGCTCGCGCGGGGTCGTCATGTACATTAGGATCAATCGAGAGGGGGAGTTGGACGATGCAACGCATCTCATTCGGAGATGGGTTACCATCTTCCACGATTTCAGGTTCGGTGGGCTGCAGCGGGTCAATGAAATATGCACTGACTCCACATCAGCGTACATGGGGGCTGCAAGGGCAATGGCTTCGCCGACCATGCCTCTTGCACTGAGGAGGATCACTTGGCTCCCGTGCCCCGTCCATGTCCGCAACAAATTGTTGTTAGACATGGGGACGAGTTGCGACGCGTTTGTGGACACGATCACACACGCTCGTGTGCTGGTGGTGTTTTTCAAAACCCACCAGGCCGCCCTTAATTTTTTTAGGAAGCGCAACCCCGACAAGTGGCTTGTTCTTTCCTGCGAAATGCGGTTTGCGTCTGTTTATTCCATGCTGGAGACAGTGGAAAGGATGGTGGCTATGCAGGACACTTTGCAGGGCATAACGCGAGGAGACCACTCGCGGGCTTTTGCTTCCATCCCTTGGTCCGCCGACGTGTGTGTCATGGCGCGTTGGGTGCACCGACATATCATATGGGATCCTTGGTGACAGAGGGTGGCCACCATCGTCCATATCATGGAGCCCGTCATGCAGTTGCTTAGGCGGATGGATCGTGGAGGACAGTTCGTGTCGCTCATGATCGAGTGGACACAGGATCTTGTCCACCGTGTAAGGGACGCATGCGCTTCTTTGGGGCAGTCCTTCGCTGACCGGATCATCAGGCGTATGCAGACCCGCACACAACACATGCTTGAGTCGGCTTACTGCGCTGGGTTCTTACTGAACCCCCGCAGGCGACATGTTCAGTACTTTTCAGGCAAGGTGGAGGGTTACCATGCTTGGCTTGTGAGGCAAGCCAAGAAGTGCATTCTGACGCAAACGGGTTTCGAGTTAGACGATGCGGATTACATCGTTGCATGTCGTCAGTTTGAGGACTTCCACATGCAGCAGGGCAGGTTTGGCAATTGGGGCGGGGCGGAGGGGCGTGCTCGTGGGCGGACGTGTAGAGGTGACGCCGAGACGATCGAGTGTTCATCTTGGTGGTCCCAGTATGGGGCTAGAGCGCCTGAGCTGCAGCGGTGCGCTCTTCGTGTGATGCACATGTGGTCCTGAGCCTCTCCAGCGGAGCGCGGAACTGGGCAGCCCACGAGGACATCCACACGAAGAAGCGCAACCAGTTGGTCTTCGAGAAGGTCGTGCAACTCGTTGAGATCACCGCAAATGTGTGGTTGACAGAGTATCGGCGGGCAGGATGCGGTTATGTGTTGCCATGACAGCGGGACGAGGGCATGCTCGACTGCCAGGCAGGACTCGAGGTAGAGCCGGTGCGCACGGGCACACACACGGGGATGGCGCATGACGAGATTGCTTACGCGCGATCCCATTGGGGCTTCCGAACCGCCCTCTGCTGATGTCTCGTCTTTGATAGACGTGCTTGCATTTTTCGTCCCTACCCCAGGGACGACGACTCGGATGAGGAGCCGATACCCGAGGCAGCAGATAACATTGCGCTCCTCATTCCCCACTAGATCTATGAGACGCACGACGATCCCGACGACACGGAGACGAGGACACACACCGCACGACGGGCGGTAGATCGGGCACCTGTCAGTGGAGGGGCACCTGCAGTTCACTGAAGCCAAGGGCAACGGCGCCTGTCAATCGCCGCGCCCGCTTCCGAGGTCCTCAGCAACTCACAGGGCTTCGGGGGTCCGCGTTGCTTGTCACACCCCCTATTCTCTCAATAGTCAATCAGTTAAGGACCGGTATAACAGCAATTAACTCCAAGAGTCAAACGGTAGATCAGCTGGTTTAGGCAGCAATGAGTTCCTATGACCACTCAGTAAATGGACCGATTCAAACTGCACTTAATTTTAATAGTCATAGGATAAATCAGCTAGTCTGAAAGCAACGAGTTTCAATGACCAACCGGTGAAACTAGCACGTTCGCACACCTATGAATCTCAACAGCTCTCTTGTCGTTCTTCCTCTTCCTCTCTCGCGCCGTTCTTTCTCTCGCTGCTCTCTCTCTCTCATAGTTCTCTCTGTCTCTCCCGATATTCTCTTTCCTTCTTCTTTCTCTGTTCTCTGAGACTCTCTCTAGTCTGTCTCGCTCAGTTTCTCTTTCTCTTTCTCTGTCCGTACAGTCTCCCACTCTCTCTCTCTCGCTGTCGGTAAAGTCTCTCTCTCAGGGAGAATGCGGACGGTGGTATCCACAGGTCACGATAAGTCCCGTATCACCGTGATATGAGAATACAGCCAAAAAAAAGCGTAGGCAAGACACAATTTACCGTGAT